CTATTGCTTTGGTCTGTTTCGGTGGCCTGGTTGGTGGTACCTCTGAGACTTCTCAACCCAGAGGTTCTTGCCTCTCTGGCTACTAGGACTGGGTACTAGACCTAGGTATCCATTTCATCAGGCTAGTCTTTACAGTAGGGCCATCGAAGATCCAGCTACCTCTCTACTTAGGTCTTCTCAAATGGACTTCTTGTTATCCAATTTCAACAGATTTACATGGCCACAAGAACTTATTTAGTGTTTGCACCACCTGATATGTCGGTTTGCATTCCTCTGTGTAACTTTAACATTGCACAGATGCCCCATGACCTGCCAGTTATACTGGTGTGACTGCCATTACAGGTATCCTAATCCAACTGTTAGTAACAGTTGCTATAATATGAATATTACATAGGTGATTATTCAAATTTTCACTGTTGATGGGATTTGAACAGCCAACCTACCACTTGGGGGGTTGACAACCTGACCACTTTACTAGGTCACCACACCCCAGTTTCTATTTTTTCTTTAAATCTTTTTCATATGTTTAAATAGAGCTTCTATCTATCAGTTCAGCCTTTAGTTTTGAGTAGCATTTGTGTTAGTATATTCAAAACTAAAATGTTTCTTTTGTTATAAAGATCTAAGATTATGGTGTTTCTCCTTACAGTGGTCCAAAAAATATTGCTTGATATAAGTTTAAGCCATGTTGAAAGTAGTCTAGAATTTAGCATATCCTTTAGAATAGGTGCAGTAAGCCTACCTTGTTCATAGCTAAGCTAAAATACTGAATATTAAGGTAGCATTCTAGAGTTTTTTTTTATCCAGTTTGTTAGTAGTTGGTTAATTTTATTTAGCTGCTTTCTTGTTGAAGAAAGAAGGTATGCCAGATACCATATTTTGGAAATAAGTAAGGTTTTGGCTGCTAAAATTCTTCTCTTAAATGAAAGATTTTTTTGTAAAAGTTCATTAATTTTATCTTTGAGTTTTTTTGTAAGACTTTTCCAAATGGACTTTTCTGAATTTTCTTTTATGTTAATGTTGTAGCCTAGTATTGTTATAAGGCTTTGATCATTATCAAGTATTTTAAATTCTGATTGTCCTAAGAGTTCAACTCTTTTAGCATTAGATGTAATAGGTACTAGAATTGATTTAGTTTTGTTAATTTTAGCATTAGAGGCTTTCTCGTATTTGTATAAAATTTCTAAAGTTTTAGTTCAGTCTGATGAAGATCTGATTCCCAAAAAAATATCATCTGCATATGCTGCAATTTTGAATCTTGCATTATTAACTAGGATTTCCTTAATATCTCTGTTGATTGTACTAATAAGTGGGTTAATAGCTAAGACATAGAGTAGTAGTGAGAGTGGATTACTCTGTCTAACTTCTCTTTCTACTCTAAAAGGTTCTGAGATATAGCCTAAGTCAACTATGTATATGCTTTGGCTCATAAAAAGTAAACTTATCATCTTAATGAATTTTTGTTCAAAGTTCATTTTGTTAAATGTAATCTGTAGAAAGCAATGACTAACTCTATCAAAAGCTTTTTGCTGATCCAACAGCAACAACCAGTATTGCTTTAATCAGTCATTTTGATTTCTTAGTATTACTAGTACATCTAGTGCTGCATCTGTAATAGATCTATTAGTAATAAAGGCCTGCTATGCTGGACCAATAATTTTGTTGCGTATAGGATTAATTCAGTTAGCAAAAAGCTTCATAAAGATTTTGGCATCTGAGTTTACTAGTGATATAGGCCTTCAGTTGTTTATATTAGAAGGGTTATCTGATTTTTTGATAATTAGTATGATGAGACTTTTACTCCATAAGACTAGGATTTGACCTGTTTCTAGTACTTGATTAAACAAATTAGTGAGTATTAAAAGGATTATTTATTTTGTATCTTTGTAGAATTCGTATATTAGGCCATCAGTTCCTGGGGCCTTATTGTTTAGAAGATCATCAATTATTTGACCAATTTCTTCTTTTGTTATTTGTTTTTCCAATAGTTCATTTTGCTGTGATGTAATCTTTGTCAAGTTGTTTGGAACTCCTTGATAAAGTTCGTAACTTGTGTTTGTAAGGCTTTATTTGGGCTATTTAGGTCTTTAATTTTGAAGCTGCAGCTTGTCAAATGCTTGATTTTGTATAATAAGTAGAAGTATTTTGTTGATTTTTCTCTCTCTTCTATTTATTTTGAATTAGATCTTACTCATTATTTGTTTAACATTGTAGTTAGCTCTTCTTGAAGCTCTACATTTAGGCCTTCAATAACCAGCTTAAGCTCTTTTAGATCAGAGTTTTTTGCTATTTTATTGTTTAAACTAGTGACTTGAACCGATCAAGTTTTAACTGAATAACTGAGCTAAACCGAAAAATTTCGAGTTAACCAGTTGAGAAAATGTTTAATCGATTAACCTGGAATAATTGAATAACCTGATTACCCTGGCTAACCTGGTTAACCTAGCATAATTAGATAACTCAGCATAATTAGATAACTCTGCATAATCGGATAACTCGTTACTAGAACATACTCCATAGGAAGACTTTCATATTATTGGCTGATCAAGTCAATTTAATTTTACATTATTTATACAATTTAAAGTACTTTTTTAAAAAAAAATAAAACTATAAAGAATAAATGAAAAAGAGGTATATAGAAAGTTTTATTAGGGCTGTAGGACTTTAGTATTAAAAATAATCAAAATCATTTCTGGTTTTAGAAAAGTTAGCATGGTAATAACCTAATTTTATCTATCTTTAAGAAGTCGCTAATATGCTAACTCCTCCAAAGTCAGAAATGATTCTGATTATTTTTAATAGTTAAGTTCTACAACTCTAATACAACTTTCTACATACTTCTTTTTTGTTTATTCTTCGTAGTTTTATTTTTTTTAAAAAGTACTTTAAACTGTATAAATAATATAAAATTAAATTAATTTAAACTGCCAATCATATTATGGGAATGTACGTAGTATGAAATTGCCACTTGTACTTTGTGTAGCGATAAAAAATTTTACATATTCGTTTATAAAAATACTTTTTTATTTGCATATAAATTTATACTAAATATATATATATTCAAAGAGTTCGAAGAGATAGTTAAAACTAGCAAATAAAACTATTATAGTAAAGGTCTCTATTATAACTGATCAAAAGCTATGATTTTAGGATTGCAGTAATCATAGTCAAGGTTAGCAAAAGATAAAGTGAAATCATTATATCACATAAATGACTTTGATATAAAAAATACTTTGGGTTAATTGTTATAAAAATTTTCACCAGGGTTTGTAAAATCTTCCTTATTTCAAAAAAAAAAATTTTATGCTAATTGTATGATATAAACATTAAATTTTCAAAAGGATAAGTATACATTTTTACAAAATTTTTATAATTAAGATAAAAAAAAAATTAGTTAAATCTTAATTACCTTTTGTCTTATATATATGAGAGCTAGGAAACATATTAACAAAATTATCATTTCTTTTTAAAAATAACATTCAAGAAACTAATTTTGGTTTTAAATTGGAACATCAAGGGGTAATATGATTACCAGCATCTGAAAAAATATGTTCGCTAAGAGCAGAAGTAGCGGAAACACCAAGGTATTTTCTTGCTAGTTTTGAAAGTATTGGAAATTGAGTTTGGTGCTGTCGCCACCATAAAAGAGGGTCATAATCAGGAGAGGCTAGCGGTGTCTGCCTAAAGTCAAGGTAACAATCCAAATCATCCATAGATTCTTGCAACCTTTGAGCTTTACCAAATATAAGGTCTTTAAACATATTGTTAGAAGAGAGGTTTATCGAGCT